AATCTCATATATATAGCTTTATCTATGTAACTTCAATCCTTGTATGCATATGGCTAACACTCCCACTAAGAGCTCTCTGGTTTAGCTAGATCGTGCACACCATCTTTGCCCTTAAGCATGCAAACTGTTGCTGGGCCAGTGGCTTAGTATGTCTGCAATCATCTCTTTAGATGAGCAATAATTTAAGCCTATTTTCTTCTTTTGAAACAGTTCACGAATGAAGAGTGTTCGAGTATCAATATGCTTTGTTGTTATCGGCCGAGCCTCTGTTCGACTCCCCGTGCCTGAGTGTGGGTAGCCGAATGTTGGTCACGAACGACATTTGAAGAGTGTGAAATATGCCCTGGATCGGAGCGGCATATGTTCCGAGCTGATGGTACACTGTATGATGCATGACTGGTAGAAGAGTAGTGAAGTGATAGGAAGGAACTGACTTATGGACTGGATAATGAAGTTACTTTTGGATTTGTCATCGAGGTCACCGTTGTGAACACGGTAGTCGTCGGTTGTGAACACCGGCGCAAGACAACATTTGTACCCTTGTGGTTTTCTGGTATTTTGACGCAATCAATTGCAGCACCGCTGTCACACCATACTGTAATTCGGCGGTTTAAGTTTAAACCCATTTGACTCAAAAGTGTGTGAATCCATTCATATTATTTGCAGCCTTCACTAAGGGCCACTAACTGTGCTTCTGCTGTGGAAAGCGCTACGCAGTGCTGTATAGAGCTTGCCCAGCTGACACAAGTCCCTGCCATCTGAATTAGATATCCGGAGACGGGTTTACGATCTTTTGACTGACTCGCGAAGAAGCGTCCGTAAAGACATCGTAGTCTATCTGTTTTGTATTACCATTGAGATAGAGCCCATACGTGGATGTTCCTTTCAAGTATCTTAGGATTCGCAAGGCCGCTAGCCAATGCCTTTCATTGTAGCATGTTGGAAATCTACTTAGATTGCTGTTCCGCATCCCACACTGTCGACGTTCCGTCGACCAGCACAGCAACCACAACGGTGGTTAGACTCACAATGCAAACTGACTGGTATTAACCTTTTATACTAACCAGTCGTCGATGTTGGACACGCGTCGAAACCAGAAGGATCTCGACCTCCCATGCAGGTGCGGTTTGCCCTCGGTGATTTCCAAGGGCACACGACACACTTATGCGGACGCAGCAGAACACTTCCCCCTTCAGTGGATGGCCAGGGGTCGCCTCTAAGTCGTCGCGCATTTCCTTGACGATCCAGTGGCGCAGGACGATGCAATGGCTTCATAGAGTTGAAGGTATGGCTCCCATGACGATTCTCCTTCGTCCAGGCCCTTCCACCTGACGTGCACTTCGAATTTTCCGTCGGCGTTGCGGCGAGCGCCCAATAGTTCTTCAGTGCGTCTGGTGCCGATCTGCAACCATTGTCTGCGCGACAAATTGGATGCTAAGCTCGGAGCTGATAGATGCGCTGCGGGGCCTGTTGGACGTGGTGGCGAAGGCCGCTGGTGGGTCGGTGTAAAGGCAAATGATCTTGTCTGCAGATGGATGCGATAGTTCACCATTTGCCGCAACGTGTCCTTGACCTCTGCAAAACACACATCATGTTCGGACGCCCATCCGACGGCAGCCAACTTGATGCGCGCCAGCGCCGTCTTCTTCGACCCACGAGCGGCCTTCGTCACCACGTCCAACAGGCCCCGCAGCGCATCTATCAGCTCCGAGCTTAGCATCCAATTTGTCGCGCAGACAATGGTTGCAGATCGGCGTCAGACGTTGGCGTCTCCAGTGCACATAGGCCCTGAACTCGATCAGGGGAATGGGAGATCCATTCGGCGGAAATCACTTTCCCGCACCACGTGGCTTTCATCAAGAAGAAATCGCACTTCTTCGGATGCTGCTTGAGGCAGAACTTTTCGCAGATGGACAGCACCTTGTCCAACAACACAAACAGCGTGTCCGAGCTGTCTGCGTACCCCAGCAGATCGTCCAACCAACCCAGCACCCCGGCGTACAACAGTTCACCGAACATTTCGTTCACCACGGACTGGCAATAGGCCACGGCGTCCTTCTGTCCCATGAGGATTCTGGTTGGCGTGTAAACACCGAACGGTGTCGTGAACGAGTACCACATATGGCAGGATGGGTGCAGTACCCTTTCAGCCAGTCCAACGTGAAAAACACGTTCATGCCGACCAACGTCGCCATCGCGGCGTCAAGGTTCGGCATCGGCCAGGGCATGGGGATCGTCCATGCGTTGATCGGGCGAAAATCTATGGTCATTCGATATTCAATCCACGGTGCTGCCGCTCATGTCGCACGTTTCTTGAGGTAGATGAGGCCTGCGGTCTCGAGCTCTTCCACATGCTGTTGCAAATAATCCATGTGGCCCGGCGGGTACCGGCGCAACGCACACTTCACGGGCACCGCTCCTTCCTTCAGCCGTACTTTAACGGCTCGACATCCACCGGCAAGTCTTGCCCAAACTCCAGGCGAAAGACATCGGCGTGATCATCCAAAATACGCCAGAGTTCGCCTTCATGCGCAGGGGAGAGGCCAAGCTGGATGGCCTGAGCAATCTTGCCGTCGAGAATGCGCTTTATCTCGTAGTCTTGGTCGGCGGGCTTCTACATTGCTGGAGTGGAACACGCAACGTCCTCGGCGTACAATACGTCTTCAGGGTCTTCCTGATACGCTTCTTGCAGCCGGTTTACATTCGCCGATGTCTGGTCGGCATCTCCCGCTTCGGCCGTATCCCAGACTCGATGCTACTTCAAAGCGTCGACAAGCATGCCGTCGACTGAAAACCCCAGTCGCTCCATAATGGGACGTCCAATGAGAACGTCGATCTCCATCTCCTTTTTTTCGCTCGAAGTCCACGCAAAACCAGTTGGCCGATTGACGTTTCCAACATAACCGTCTTTAACTGCACTTGTCGCGTCACATGGAGAGGCTTCGTTGTCTCTCCATACGGCTTCAACATGAGTCTTGGCTTTGTCTCAACGTTGAGACTTGCACCAAGGCGCTCCAGCGCCACGAGGAGGCCTTCTGACACCAACGTCTCGTCAGACCCAGAGTCAAGCAACACTTGAGGAAGTGTGAGAACGTCCTCGATAGACGCTTGACACTTCATGCTGTTTGCAGGCTTCGTGCTCGGCACGAAGTTCACCGACCGACGGCGCGCCTGATGGAAGTCGTCCATCAACTTCTTTACCTCGGCATCTGTAATGCCAGGGTGTTCCCACACTCGGTGTGCCGTCGACTGACATTTCAGGCACTTTGACTTCGGTCACTCTGGCGGCTCGTCTCTTCTATCGGCACGCCAAGTAGGAGGCGTGATCGACGCGCCACTGGGCTGCTTTTCTTCATAGACCTGGCTGAAACGTGAACGAGGCCGCGAGTTTCTCTACCGGCGGCTTCGAAGGTTTTTCTTCGTCCATGCCGCCATACAGCTGGTACCCAATGGCGAATTGCCGCAGCCACGTGATGTAGTGAAACACTTCTAAGAGCGACCTTTTCCCGCCGCACCCGAGCTCGGAAAGGTGGGGGCGAGGCGCCGTATCGGTCGGGATGAAAGAGGTTAGGGGGACCGCTAGGAGGGCGACGCGAGTGGTTATCAAGTGGGACACGAGAGGAACCGTGTGAGGGAGGCACAGCTGACGCAACATGGCGAGGTTCCGGACAAGCGCGAGAAAAGTGTCCAGAGCGACTGCAATTGAAACATGTGCGGTTATCCGATACCTCAGCGAGTATGGACAGCTGTGTGCGGTTATCCGATACCTCAGCGAGTATGGACAGTTGTGTGCTTGATCCATATGCATCCAAAATGCATATCCATTGTCCTATTTTATCCCACTTGGGAATATCTTAACTTCACTATTAACCTGGTTTGTCCTAGTGGCTGCAGCACACTGTCCGGATGATGGGCACGGTTCGTGCTCATCATGTGTTGTGCATCCAGAATTGGTCCATTTGCATCCAAAATGCATATCCATTGTCCTATTTTATTCCACTTGGGAATATCTTAACTTCACTATTAACCTGGTTTGTCCTAGTGGCTGCAGCACACTGTAAGTCGTAATCACAACTTAGTGCATGAGTCTTCCAGTACAAGTGGCCAATCGAAGCGAATGATAGAGACTATTCATGATTGATAAAAAAAATGATAGCTTACAAATTTAATAAAATATCCTTGGTGACACACTCCATTCGGTTCTCTGTACGTATAATTAAGCTTACTGTTAGTTTTCCACATGCCGACTTCAATGTCTCATCGAGATAGGTTGGTGGATGCACCTTGGTCAATGATACTAGTAGAAGTACTACGTAGTACTTCAAGTATTTGTTATGAGAATCCTGTTGATTGCGTTTAACGACTTGCACGCCTGGCCTTCGCTTCAATGGTTGACATTTTTGGCCAACTTCATTTTCCGTTTCGCTCTGCGATGGTCAAAGTCCTCATCTCCCTCGGCGTGTTGGCCGCTGCCGCTACGGCTGGCTCCGTCACGGAACTCCCCGAGTCTGTGACCAAGCTCATCGACTACTCCATCAACCCCTGCGAAGACTTTTACCAATATGCGTGTGGCGCGTGGCACAAGGATGCTGTGGTACCCCCTGACAAGCAAAAAATTGATACGTCGTTCTATGAGATCGCCATCCAAAACAAAGCCATATTCAAGAAGATTTACTCTGACAACAAGACCAAGCTTGGTGAGTTTTACAACTCCTGTTTGGACACGGCTACGCTATCGTCGCTCGGATTGACTCCGCTTGAGGACTCATTCAAAGCCATTCGGTCGGCCAACACCACGTTGGACCTCCTCGTCGTGGCTGGTGAATTGACCAAGAACGGCATCCCTGTATTCATGGACATCAAGTCCGAACCTGACTACAACGACTCAACCAAGCACGCCCTCTTCGGTTTTCGAGCCCCCCTACCGCTCGATCGCCCGTACTACTTCAACTATTTCAAGTGGAAGGCCGTCGAAGCCGAGTATAAGGTGTACATTGCGTCCGTGTTGCAGCTCGCTGGCTACACTGCTGAGAAAGCGGCGGCTGCCGTGCCGGTGATCGTCCGTTTCGAGCAAACTCTGGAGGGTGTCATCCCCAGAGAGCTCAAAGAGATGGAGGCCGCTGCACCCCTGTATACTGCTTTTACGTACTACCAACTGGACCAGAAGTACCCGCTGCTCATCGGCTCGTGGCTCAAGGCCAACGGCTTCGACGTCCGCGATGAGGGTGGTAGGTCGACGGTCTGGGCGGGGTTTCGCGAAGAGCACTACTTTGACAAGACCGAAGTGTTATTGAAGAACACGACACTGGAGAACCTCCGCACCATCGTGGAGTACAAGCTCATCCACGCCTCGTCGAAGCACTTGACCCCTGAATTTCGCACGGCCAACTGGAACTTCTTCGGCAAGAAGATCAAAGGCGAAGACGTGGAACCTACTCGTGAGAAGTACTGCTTGTCTGAGACGGAGAAAACTTTGGGTGACCTCTTGGGCCAGTACTTCATAGACGAGGTGTTTCCGGCTGATACGGCCAAGAAGGCCGACGAACTGGTCAAGGCCTTGAAGTCGTCCTTCTCCACTGGCATTGCCACCGCCGACTGGTTGGACAACTCGACCCGCGCCAACGCGCAAACGAAGCTGTCCAAGTTTGTACACTTGTTGGGTGGCCCGGAGAAGCCGCAGCTGTACCCCACGCTGACATTGGACTCGAAGTCGTATTTGAACAACCGGTGGAAGGTGTCTCAAGTGAACATCGACACCAACTTGAAGCTGAACGGCCAACCTGTGAACAAGCACAAGTTCATCCCGGCCCCCCATGATGTTAACGCGTTCTACCACCCCTATACGAACCAAATTGTGTTCCCGGCCGGCATTTTGCAAAAACCGTTCTTTGACGGCCAGTTTGACGCCGCCCAGAACTTTGGTGCTATCGGGATGTTCATCGGACACGAAATTACACACGGGTTCGACCACATCGGCCGCAATTACGATGGCGACGGTAACAAGAACCCGTGGTGGTCAAACGCCACCAACACTGCGTTCACGACGAGAGCCCAGTGCATTCGAGCCCAATACTCCAACTTTGTCGTCACGAGCGAAGTGACTGGCGCTGTGTTTGGCAACATCAACGGCAAGATCTCTTTGGGAGAAAACATTGCGGACAACGGGGGTCTCAAGACCAGTTTCCGCGCGTATCACGAGTACTTGAAGACGTTCCCGTCGCAGTACACGGAAGAAGCAGGCGACAAGTTGTTCTACTTGTCGTTCGCCCAAGCCTGGTGCTCCAAGAACGCGGATGACTACCTCCGCTCAATTTTGAGGAGCAAGTACCTGTCCGGTCGGCTCCGCGTGACAGGGGCGTTGCAAAACAACGCTGAGTTTGCCCGTGTGTTCCAGTGCCCCACCGACTCGCACTTGAACCCGTCCAAGAAGTGCTTATTGTGGGAGTAGCGTTGTGTATTCGTAACGACAAACTAAGAAAACGATGTCTTGGTTGATGTGTCTGTGGCTTTAATGTGCGGCGCACACAATATATTGACTCCAATGTAAGTATAGCATTGTGAGATCATCCTTGGATTCGCCTATTGATAGTTAGTTCTTGGGTACCAGTAACGTTAAGTACTCGACCGGAAGGTTCGAATTTATATACAGTAGATTGCTAAACCAGGTACATTCTTCTATTGGAACAGTCTTCCACGGCCAGGATTGAGCAGGGCATCTCAGTGATATAAGCACTGCCGTAGCAGTTGCGAATAAAATTCTAAAGCGCATTTCATCAGGAACAAGGGTACTTCGGAAATTTGCTGATGTTTTCGAAATTCTCCCATGTAGTTTCAGTTCACTAGATCTTGGGATGAATTAATGACTTACTGTTCGTTGACATACATATATTGTATATAATAGGGGTTGTTTACATTATAACCGATTACTTGGTCATAGATTGAGCAACTGATCAATTGGTGTATGTCTGACTTGAAGTATGACAACTATCGGTTTTACTTTGGCAATTGGGAAGTAATGGTGTTGCTGATTCTTCACATACGGTACTGTCGATTTACGAGGTCCTCAAATATCTTCCTCAATCTCGAAGTGCCAAAGGCAAAAATACGATTAAATACATGCGAACGAATATTCATAAGGGCACCTACCTATGTGTGCAGTGGGCTTTGCCATTCAGATTGATGCTACCAGTCTTTGCTGAATGTAGCATGTACTTCAGAACAACGCCGCATCATTACCACTACTGTGACATGCTATATCAATTAAACGTGTATATAAATGTGACCAACAAGAATTATCTAAAATGAGTAGTTTTCATGTAGAGGCTGGACGAAAAGTTGCAATTTGAGATATCGTTAAAATGTACTATATAAGGAGATTAAATTTGGCATAGCTGTTTAAACAACTTGCAGTTCAACAACCCCTATAACTACATGTTTGCCGCCAAAATGAATCAAAATGCCCGTCAGGTTGGCAAGTCAACAAACTTCTTGCCCACCACACAATTGAATTTGCATCGCAATGCCCATCAACGCCAACGCCGTCCTTAATCGCCTCCAAGACCAGACCATTCGTGATTGGTCGTATCTCGAGGCTTCCTTCACCACCCATGGGGAGGCCACAAGAGCGGCTAATGAAAGCGATGAGGCCGCTGCGCACCCTATCATGGACAAGTTCATAACTGACCTCGGTTCAGAGGAAATCCGCACGCTGACAAACTTCACTGTCACTGAGTTTGAAACTCTTTGGTCCTTCGTGGGCACTGCCATGCAATCGGCTTGGATGGAAGGGCGCGGCCGTCGATCTCCTACGAGCCCGAAGGACGCCATGTTCATGGCTCTGACCGTCCTCAAGCACTTTTCGTCATGGGAAAAGCACGCTGCGGATTATGGCTTCAAGGCACCAACGTTTGAGAAGCTTATCATGCGCGTGCTCTCGGTAGATGAGTATATATGTTGTGTGCAATCTCTAACAGACAACACTGTAGGTGATTGAACCCATCTTCTACCGACGTTTCATCACTACAGAGACGATGGCGGAGCTCACCCAGACAGGTCAGCGCTTTGCCCACTTTCCATACGCTCTCTATGCTGTAGACGTCAAGTTTCAACCTTCCAACCGACCTGCCGATCGCTTTGCTGAGCAGAAGCACTACTTTAGTGGTAAACACCACTTGTATGGCTACAAGATCGAAGCAGCTGTGTCGCCAGATGGCCGATGTGTTGCCATGTCTACTGCCGACCCTGGATCTGTGCACGACCTTACCATTATGAACTCTCGCAAACATGTCCACCTTGCCAACTTAGCCAAGTCGGCCTCCGAATCCCTTGTGCCGGACCATGGAGAGCAGGCTGCCCTGCATCGTGGCTCGTGGGCTTGTCTTGTTGACATGGGCTACATTGGAATCAGACACTCATTGCGTGGCATCCACCCGAAGCGTCGTCCCGCCCATTGATCTCTTGATGCCAGCGACTTGGAACGAAATGCCAACGTCTCCTCAAATCGGGTGATCGTGGAAAACTTCTTCGGCCGAGTGTGCTCCCTCTGGCGCGTATCCTGCGCCACGTACACGTGGTCCGAGCGAAACTACTCTGCGATCCAGCGAGTTACGTTTGCGTTGACAAACTTTGACTTGTCCTTGCTACCCTTGCGCCATGATGACGAGGACTTTTATGGCCGTGTACTCGCTCGCTACCAACGTATGGCGAATGAAAAGAAGCGCAAGCGTCAAGAAACTCAACGCCGTTATCGGTTGAACCGTCAAGAACGTGCCGCTATGGATGCTGTCCGTGTTATGCGCTTCTAGTAGTTTAGCGTCTAAATTCGTTGATTTTTTCACCAAGTATGTTATTGATCAGTGGTCCAGTAAATAATCAGTAACTTGGTCATTTCGGAAACTAACGATTTTTGACACAAACACATTGCTCTTGATATTCTGCAAGGTGAATTCGTGAAGTCCCTTGTATTGATTATTTGTATAACTATTTCCGAATTGACATGATCAAATTGGAAATATGGCAGGTATACAGGAAGCCAGTCATCTACTGGTTTAAAGATCTACTGTCAATCACACAGCCGAGTACCACTCCAACATTGAATCGAATGGTACGGTAAGCATTTGTATCCAGAATTAACAGAAATAACCAGGAGAGGTGACGGTCCCTCCAAATTCGTCGAAAATACCCGAAGTTACACATCAATTGGAGGTCTGGTTATAGTTGGATGGGCAGATAGCAGCAGCAGGCAGATGAGTAGTTACTGGCTCTAGATGTGCCAGTTCCTCCAACAGCCAATCAAATCTTAGATTATGATTGGCCACGACATCCTGTGATGTTTCGTGACGAATCTGCGCTGTCTTCTACTCTGAGGAAAAGCCTCTAGAAGGCACAAAAACCTCCTACACAGCTAGCAGACGCTGCTACCTGACTGACAGACCAGTCGGGATGTTCTCTAGAAGAACAGGGTGTTCTGACTGCCACCCAACAGCGCCACGCACTGTCAACCGGAATCAGGTGCCCTGAGTGCAGAAAGAGGCTGGCGGTTAAGCTCAGCGAGCGTAACCACCACTGGTTACACCGTCTTTTGTCCGGGACTCAACTCGTTGGACACCCCTTTCAGCTGGTCCCTACCAATTCGCCGTTTCCGAACGACGCGCCGTGGAAGGGCCGGATGGATCGAGTAACCACCGGGATACCGTCACATCCCCAATGTCGAACCAACATGGTCCAGGGCGTCCCCCTTACATGTCGGCGCAGTCGTGGGCTGAGAGGCCGGAGTTCGCGCTCCCTGGCTCGCGCCGGAGGGTGCTGTCGGGCGGCAGCTGCCTCACCCTTAGTTGACTGCGCAAAGCGCAGAACGTTGTCACATCAAGTGGTTTGGTAAAGATATCCGCGACTTGATGTCGCGTATCGGTGTAAACAAGACTAAACGTCTGTTGTTCCACAAGGTTGTTGATGAAATG